CTGTTAAGTCTTTTGGCGGCCAGCTTGTTTTCTCGTTAATTTACAAACCTTATTTTTACAAACAGGCGTCCAATGATGAGAAAAAGACGCGTGCTGAAACCACTCAAGTACAAGGTGACTCTGTGACTCTCTACAAAAACTGTGAGCAAGCCTTTAGAACTGAGTTAAAGACCTTGGTTGAAAATAGCAATGGAGTCTCCACCAGTTGTGAGGAGTACTGTAAGAAAAAAATTGAACAGCTTGAAAAGGAACATTCCGAAATAGTAGAGGAACTTCAACAGTGGGTTGAGGATGGAGACCAAAAGAATAAAACGTTGGAGGAGATTATTGAAAAAACAAATGAAGAAAATGTGAAGCTCTTGGTTCAGATCAGCGTCATGAAGAAGGAATTGAAAGCTTTGGAGAATGAAAACAATATTCTCCAGACTAAGTTGGAAACGAAGAGAGTTGACGCAAGGAACATGCTCGAAAATCGCAATGAAGTCTCTGCTAGTTGCAATGAGGAACATAAGAAAGAACTTGCTCAGCTTGAAAAGGAACATTCCGAAATAGAACAGGAACTTCAACAGTGGGTTGAGGATGGAGATAAAAAGATCAAAGATTTGGAAGAGATTACTGAAACTACAAATGGAGAAAATGTGAAGCTCTTGGTTCAGATCAGCGTCATGAAGAGGGAATTGAAAGCCTTGGAGAAAGAGAACAATACTCTTCAGACCGAGCTGAAAACCAACAGAACAGACTTGAAGGGTTTAAGAGCAAAAGAACATTACAACGAAAGAGAACTGAGAAATCTGAAACGTGATTTGAAGAAAAAGGACCAAAGTTTGAACAATGCCCTGGCTGAGAAACAGCAGCTGTTGGATGATATTGATTATTTGGAAGGGAGCCTGAGGGATAGTCAAGCGTCCCATGAGCATTTGAACGTGCAAATTGATGAGCTTAAGGGCATGGTGAAGGAATTGAATCAGCGACCCGATTACGGACATTTACGCGAGAACGTGGAACTCTTAAAAGGATCCTTTGATTTTTGCTCCCACAAAGAAGAGCTGTTGAGCTTTCAAGTTGACGCGTTGACAGCCGAAGCGTCTTACTTTAAAGCTTGTGAGCTGGACTTTAAGAAGTTGAAGGATGAAACATCGAGTGTCATCGACCGGCTTGAGGTTCAGCTAGATATATGCATGAACGAAAACACAAGAATCGTGTCAGAGAAGAACAAAGAGCTTAATGAGCTGAAAGACGCAAAGTCGAAGGTTATTGACGACCTTAACGATCAACTTGCTACGTTAATGAACGAAAATGCAAGAATAATCTCAGAGAAAGAGAAAGAGTTAAACAAACTAAACGACGAAAAGTCGAAGTTTATTGACCAACTTGAAGATCAGTTAGACCAGTCTGAGAGTAGAAACGCCACAATCGTCTCAGAGAAGAATAAAGAGTTGAATGAACTCAAGAAACAACATTCGAGGGCTGATATCGAACTTCGGGATCAGCTAGCTATTTTGATGAAGGATCATGCCAGAATTGTTTCAGAAAATGATAAAATGATGAACGACCTTGGAGAAAAGTCACGAGTTATAGACGAACTCGAGGATCAGCTGGCAAAGTTAAGGAATGAAAACGCCAGAGTCATCTTAGATAAGAATAAAGAGAAGATGGAACTAAATGATGTAAACGCCAGGTTCATTGAACAACTTGAGGAACAGCTCGCTAAGCTAATGAGAGAAAATTCCTCTTTGACCACTGAACAGTCTAAGATATCTTATAACGATAAGAAGTTGACTGAACTTCAAGAGCAAGTACAAAAGTTAAGGGAACAGAAAAACTTGGTTCTCTCTGAACTTAACATGGTGTATCACAGTTTAAACTACAATGATGCTGTAATTGAGAAACTAATTAAAGATTTAGAACGAGAGATGTTTGAAAAGGATGCTCTCAGCACGGCCTTGGAATTCTCACTGGATAATTGTGCTATTAAAGAGAGAGCACACGCTAGGGAAACAAGAAACCTTAACTATAAACTTCAAGAAATGACATTTCTTTTGAACATTACGGATTCTTGTTCCGACGCTAATGAGAGCAAATATCAAGTTTGCGAATGTCGTGAAAAGTTTTTTGCCATGTAAATATTTATATGTCGTCTATCAAAGCCGATGTTAATTTTTTGTGCAAAGAAAATTGTTCTGTATAAATTGCATTTAAACAGCTATTTGTAATAAATTATGTATTTATAATTCCACTGGTGAATCTTAATCTTCGGATGTTAGTGAACAGTAATACAGTCTCCGGCCCAAATCTCACTCGGCCAGGCGGAAAGGAGATCTCAATTGCAGGCAGGGGGAGCCGTGTTTTCTTAACAATGAAATAGCGAAAAAATTTATGCTTGCCCAAGTATAAATATATCAACCGAACGATATCCTTGCATACCTTATTACAGTCCGCCGTTCTTTCCACCATTGTAAATCTCGCATTATTACCTGAGCTCGCAAGCCGCAGTGTTAGGGATGCCCAGAAAGCATACGTTTTTCCGCTCTGAAAGGGAGATCTCAATTTTCAGCGTGAAATAGAATAAGATTTGATTACCTATTATGCTGTATACAGAAAATCGGTTTCATCGTTACTTTACGTTTGCCAGTTTTGCTAATCAACAACTCGCGTTTTCCGTCGGCTCGGCTGAAAGGTTGCGAGGGGCGAAACTTTTAGCCAACTACGAACGTCGATAGACTGAAACGAAAGGAAGCCTGGTACATGTTTTAACATAACCCACCGACCGATCTATTGAACAAAGAATTTCATTTCAGCTGATTGAAATTCACGAGAACTCTGCCATTTCCAAACAATATCAAAGATTGACCAGCTTGCGGTGTCGTGTATCGATCATTAGAGGCCCTATATGTAGCCAATCCGATTGCCCGTTTGCCCAATGGTTGGTCGGTGGATTATGGAAAAACAGCTTTGGTGGCTCCCTACCGGTTTCTATTGAATTTGATAGTTAACTCGGGGCTTCGTCACTGGCCTATACATTTCGAGCTCCCAATAGAAACTTCAAATTTACAGTGTCAAATGTAAGGCTCGTGATCAATTGTTATTTTAAAACAACACTTACAGGAACGCGAAATCATGATCATACTCAGCAACCCCTCTACCTTTCACGCTGAAACCTGGCAAAATACGCTCAATAGTAGTTCTCCAGAAAGATGAGGCAGAATATCTACAAGTCTTTCAATAATTGAGATGCGGCTTTTAGCCTTTGGCCAGTAGAAACGTGATTTGGGTCACTTAGCAGAGAACTATGGACTTAGTGGGATTTAATCGGGAGGGGGGGGNGGTATTGACGGATTTCTGTCGTTGTAACCTTTCCTTATGTTCAAACTTTGTTCATTGTCAAACCCATAGGCGTACAGTTATATCTGAAAAATTACACAATTCATTTCTGATTGGTGGAAATTAACAATAGGTAGTAGGTCCAGTCGTACGTTCGTTGGGGGAAGGGGGGGGGGGGGGGGGGTTTTTTTTTGCTTGCCCTGCCACCTTTTCTTGCTTCTGTGATTTCTTCTTTTTTTGCCCAAAATAAGGCGGGGGGTCCGGGTCCCCCGGGCTCCTCCCCTAGATCCGCCACTGCCTTCAATTCCTAGAAATTTGTTTCAGTTCAATCCCTTTCGTCGCTGCTACTTCCGGACTGGAAACCATGAAGATTTTCCAATAAATTTATGGGAAATACATTTATGGGTACTGGACGCGTTACTCTCACAGTGCCTCTCTGCGCCCAGGTGTACAATTGGGTACCGGCGAATTTGAGGCTGGGGTAACACCCTGCGATGGACCAGCATTCCATCCAGGGGGAGTAGAAATACTCCTAGTCGCTTCATGCTACAGGAGAGCGCCGGCCTGATGGGCCACTTGGCACTCATGCAGACTTAATTATTTTTTTAATGACTTATCTTCTTGTTTACATAAAGGAAATGGAGAGTAAACTTCCATAAGAAAAGAGAAAAAAAATAAAGTAAAAATAACAAATATTTGGGCCTGTCCGGGAGTCGAACCCGGGACCTCTNGGGGGGGGGGGGGGGGGGGGGGACGCGAGCCCCTTCCGGCTGGGCAGCGAGAAGTTATCACTCGAGCCTAAGAGCGAAGTAAATTAGAAAGACTGTAAATATTCAATGTAGGAGTGTTCAGGAGAAATTGTCATTAATTTTCAATATAGTTGAACACTTTTCTGACATTTGAATGCATGTATGTAACTTATCAGGGCTGTTTCCGCATTGCATTATCGTCAAACCGGAGACATCAAGAATCAACCCAGCTGTTTCTTCTTCGACAAATAATTGGGGTATAATTCTTAGCTGCACTTAAACTGACCATTTCTCTGTTTTTTTCGGACGTGTTGAGCTGAACCAAATACAACTACGTGTGTATTGAGAGTTCCTGCGTACGTTGGGAACATCTGCACCGCAAAAAGGGAAAAAGTAAAGCTTTCACAAGAAATACTTCCCACTTCCCTTAAACCAACAATTTTCTTGCCACAATTATCCCAATTACGCAAGATATATGTTCCAATAAGTCTGTCTGTGCCGTGAAAGTGAAACCTGTTTCTGCCAATGGAAACTTCCCCTTGCTCTCTGAGGTCAGACAAAACTATCTGGGACCGCTCGTTAGTCCTTGTCTGTGTTTTCTGTCCCTTTGACAACAGCAACAAAAGAAGGGTATTTGTGCCAAGAAAGAGAGAACAAACAAAGCAAGGTCGGATAGTGTCCATTGAGCTGATGTAAATTAAGAGATTTACATTAGGTCAGGTATTGCAAATGAATGGGAGTGTAATTAAGGATTTACACTACGAGTGATATTTTTAAAATTCTCTCAAAATTGCCCGAGCCTTTGGCGAGTGCAATTTGAAAGAACTGTTCAAATTCATGTAATACGAGTAGTGTCGATCCTCAATTGCTCGACCTTTCATACGATTACTCATTTATTGTATGACTGAGAAAATTACGAACGCACGCTCGTTAACTTGCACTGCAGTGCCAATTAATTGGCGTGCTCTCAGGCAATCGCAATGAAGTGATTCAGTTTCTCAGTCACGTAATAAGTTAAGTAAGTATTTAATAATATAGACTTGATTTTGCCTTCGATTAAAGTTTTCCACCAAATTGCAACGTCATGAAACTGATACGAGTAGGGTGTTTTCCTTCAACGTTTCCATGATCTGATATTGCCAAACCCCTCAACTTTTAAGTTGAAGGCACATCAAAAATTCTCACGTCCACTGATGTCCAACGAGCGAGAAAATCGCGCGCGCAGCTCAGCGCCCTCCACGATAGTCGCGCGCGAAAACGCGCATTGATATCTCGACAAAAGAATCAAACAAAGAACAAAGACTGCCAGGAGCTTGACTCTTGCTTCATTATTGTTGTTAAGTAATTGGTCAATTAGTACACAACATTGTATGTCATCTGCCTGCTGGGAAAGCGACGAAACACACTTTGAAAACGTTAAGCGCAAACTTGGCTTGCGGCATCCGATACCCAGTGGATTCATTGTTATTCTAGTTTTAGGCTGAAGCCGGTGTTTACGTACCTAAATAAAAAAAAAACGTTATACGTAATATTCAGGTCAGGTCCTACCCACAAGTCACCAAAAATATTATTAACACTTTATCACACGTTCTGACACGTTCTGCTTTGTAGTAAATATAGTTACCTGACTCTCACCTACAAAATGATATCTTTGTATTGGCGATGATTGGAGTTTTGCAAAAGCTAAGTTTCAAAGGACTGGTGTTTATATTTGATATGTTAATATTTCGCGAGTCTAGAAGATCGTGCATTCAACATAGTATAAAATAAGGGAAACCTTTGAGTCAAGATGTCAGTGCAAAACTAAGCAGCATTGCACTTCAGTGAAACATTTCGAGGATCCGAAAACGTATAACAGTAGAACACGGAATCAAGCATGACTCACGCATATCTTTTATTTTGATAGTAAAAGGAATTTTGGTCAATTTTGCTTTTTGTTTGTTTTGTTTTGGTGTTTTTTCTTTTCTTTATTTTGACGGAATTCGAAAAGATGGTAAAAACCAACAAAATAGCAAATGCCATCAAGCACACAGTGCATTAAAACAGATTTCTACTGCTTTTCGTTGCTGATTTTTCAAGCAAAAGAACTTCAATAGATGTTCGGCTAGTGTGCACTCTCCACTGAAACAGGACTTGCGACTTAGAGCAAGCATACACAACCATCAGACGTGACAACGAGTGCAATAGATGACCTTTGTGGCTTTTTTTTTTGCGGTTGTGAAGCTCCGTATAAAACCAGAGCATGGGACATAAATTTAAATATACCTGGAATCAAAATCGTACCTTACCAATGAACTGATTTTGTGAAAACCACTCTACAGAAACAACAGTTATAATGCCTTGTCTGATCGCGTTTACGACATGCTACAAGACTACCCAAAACGACTTTTTTCCGTGCGTCAATAAACGAAATCCGCGCGCAGGTCAAGATGATTTTATATTTATATAATATAAAGCACTTTGTTAAATCGCGTTAACCGGCCCACGTTTTTGGGTCGTAGTGAGTGGAAGAAGGAAAGGTTAATAGGGGGTAGGGGAAGACTTAACGAGGTTGATGGGCTCCTGGTTACGTAAGAGAGAAAAATATACAGAGAAAATCTCTATGGAATTTCTCAAAAGATCTTCAGTCAGAAAATTTCTTAGATGGAGAACAAGTAAATCCATCGAAGGAGGAAGAGACCTCTCATTTGTAGGTTACGTAACTTGAGATCAGACTAGACGGATCTCTTCCTTTACACGACACCTCTCCCCGTAGGGGCTGTTCACAACAATCCGATCGTAAGACAATATGGGGATTATTTTCTGTAAGCTATTACTTACGTGATGAACGGAAGGCGTGTTGGTTCTTGTTCGGCGCCCACGTAACGAAACTGCACTAGTACTGGTAAGCAAAATAAGAAAAACTTCCGAAAAATTCAAATAAAAGTTTAATCATCATCTCGGCTGCAGAACAAAAGTTATTAAAAGTATATTTGGTTAATGGTACAAATATAGAACAAGCGAAGTGCTTGATACTTTAATCTCATGTAATAAAGAAGTTCTGATCATAAACTACATCAAACCGCGGTAACAGAGTTTCAGCGAGTTCTAGACCGTCCGATCCGAACGTGACGGACGTGGAATCCAAGAATAGATGCCTGTCCACGCAGAACAAAAGGGGGCATTGTCTTCGCCTGGTGTTGACATCGACATGGATAAACGTCCACGTGAGAATGATATTCGCACGCTCTTGCGTCACTGGGCAACAAGTGGGAGGCTCTATAAGTGAGATGGATCAATTACGATATGGGATTTGTACCATTCAACGACAGGGTCCACGACAATGGTCGGAGGGGAGTTCATGGCACAAGAGTCCACAAAAGAGTCATTCTACGAGGAGGTGATTTCTAAGGGAAAATTCCTGGCCAAGAACGATCTTAACTGCAATATAGAACTCCAAGAAAGTCATGTTACTGCTTCGCAAGAGAAACAAGTGAAGTCGGCGATGCCGAGTGATGCTAAGGACGATCATGGAGGAGCTATGGAAGACTCCGAAAACATTTACGAGATTATACCAGGGGATACTGCCCCGCAAAACAAGGAGTATGGTCCAGTGATTCGTTCTATGAGCTTTGGAAGTTCAACCGCGAAGAAAGAAAACCTTCGAAGGAAGTCAGAACTGCTAACAAAAGCTTTGAACGAATCAAATTCTGCGCCGCCATCTCCGTCGCATTCTACTCTAGATCTGAACTCCACGCAGTATGCCGAAATCATTCACACCAACAAGGTCACAGACTTTGTTCCTTCGAGACCGACACGGGAGTCGCAAAATCCCATCCTCAGGCAAGACTTTTCAGGCAATCTCTCCTTCGTGCCGAACCTGCGAGATTTGCGCAAGCACCTCACAGAAGTTTCCCAAGATCGCTACCTCGAGCAACGCGGTGCAAAAACAACGCCGTCCACGACACCGGAGTGTATTCGAAAACCCAGCGAATCAAGTCAACGTTCATCGAGTAGCGTTTCCTCCAAAAATTCACCGAATCCTTCTCCGCGTTCAAAAGAGTCGCCAGGACCTCTCTATGCTAATATGGAGTTCGCATTTGTAGACGACGACAAAGGTTCGCGCCGTAGCTCCGGCAGTAGCATTAGCGTCAACGAACGCCAGAGCGTCAGTAGCACAGAGGATGCCAACAGAGACACGGAGGATTCCCGTTATGAGAATATGAAGGGCTTGATAACGCACGAGTCAGGTCGACCGGGACAAGGCAGCGCGCCAGTAGATATCGTATACAGTGATTTGCACTTCCACGAATCTCGTCGATCGCGAATACCGCGACTCAAACTCGACAAGACTGTATCAACGCCTGCAAGTGGCACACACGAGAAACTCAGCGTTGAGACGAGATCTCGCTCACTGCCGGGTCAATCAAACCTGAAACTTTCTCCGCACAAAGACGAATTAAGCGATCCAAGACCTAAGAGCAAAAGCCTCGGAAAACTAAGTGGCGGCGCGCTCGGATTTTATGTGGCGCGTTTTGTAAAGAGAACGACTGTCCAAAGGTCGAACACAAAGACTCTGCAAGCGACTATTCATGACATTGTATCTAAAACTAAAGTGGAAGACTGTTCCTCGGTTAATGTGGAGGTTACATCGGACATGATGCGAATCAGCACCAATTGCTCGCCTTGGGAAGTGATCGCGAGTTTTGATGTGGAAAATATTGGTGTTATTGATCTGTTTGAGCAAGACCCTACAACCCTGGGAGTGATTGTGTGTACACCGGAAGCGGACGCCGAATGCTATGTGATCTGCTGTCCCGATGCGCAACTCATTTGCGGTGCTGTGAAGAACGCGTTTAATTCCTCAAACTCAAAGGTAACAGCAATTTTTATGACGCTTTTATTCGCGCTATTAAGTGTGATTTTAACTCACTAAAATGTCCGAGTTTAATCGTATTTGTGCGAATTAAGTTGGTGTAGAGGCGGGTAAATGTTTACAGTGCCATTGGCCGGTTGATTTGTTTACTTTTGGCAAGGACAATAAATTTGCGATACGCTGTCCGAGACTCAGAGTATTCAGTGTTGCCGTGTTAAACAGGAGTACAGTGGAATAAATGCATCCGAAACCTCGGTCTATGTAAAAAAACAAAAAAAAAAAAATAATAATAATAATAACAATAATAATTAGGCGAGGTTCTCTTTTGATTCTCCACAGAGCAATGTTTTCTTTCTGTTTTGATTGGAGGTCAAGAGCAGCGAAAACATTACCGGTTGAGGTTTACAATTAAGTTTCTTCAGGTCAAGTTGCAGAAAGAAAAAAAAATTCTCAACAAGCCTTAATAACAGTGATTAACATGCATCCATAGTGGCAGATCTAGAAGAAAAGCACTGATAATAAACTAAAAGGTTTTCTAAGGGTTCATTGACGACGCGGTACTTCATCCCTCGAGGACAAGCCAGCTTCATGCCACATCGCACAAAACGTTTGTTTTGAAACCTGACCCTTAAAACCAACACTGCGAAAACGTTTTTTATTTAAATTCTAGAGAATGGCACGGATCAAAAGCAGCATTTAAAATGGCCTGCGATTATGCTCTCTTGGAGTTTTTCTCGTCCCATATAATTTGTTTAATATTCAGTGTTTTCACTGTTAATTGTGCATTCCCCCTCCTGGATGTTTTTCCCTTACTTGAACAAATATGCTTAGAGTTTCGTTGTCACTTGGTTTCCGTTTTGAAAAATTCACGCTATTTTTAATGGCGAGTTGTCGTACCAACACGTTTGTCGATAACAACCCATTTTCCACGGTTTAAATCCTCGGCTTTCTGTCAGATAAATGTTTATGTTTTTTTTTTTTATGTTTTCTTCATCGTACGTGACAAAAGTAGAAGCTATTTTTCCGTTCTCTCTTGAAGCAAACAGATCACAAACAAACTGAACGAATACACTTTGTGTGAGTTTTTGTCTCAAATACTTATTTTAGAAAGTGTGTTTTTCTCCTCGTAGTCAGAAGTTTAAATTTAGTGTATAAATTTTAAGATTCGCAGTGCTCTTTAGGTATGTTCTTTAGTCAGTGTGATTCGCATATCTAAAGACACAACTTGCTGCTAAAACCCTAAGTTAAATAATTTTAAAGTACAACTGAACTCTTCACAATTATTCTATTCATGTTTTTTTCTGTTTTCTTTCTTAGAGTTTTAGAGTTCCAGTCTCTACACCAATGGGACCAGAGAGCTGGTTAGGAGAAGATGACGTCACTACATTTTCTGGTGTCTCCTATCTTGGTGCTCTCAAGGTGAAAAAATCTTATCTGCTTATTAACGAGAGCATCACTTCGCTGCTGGAGAAGGCACATCCCAAAGAATTCAAAAATGTCTTTCTTGAAGTACATCCCGAACAAATACGCATTATAGATGCTCAGGATAACAAAATTCTCCATCAACATACAATCCCGTGGATCTTGCTGCTCGGAGTTTACGAGGAAGACACTCGGCTCTTCGGCTACATCGTGTCGGAAGCACGACAAGGGGAAAAGACCCGGATGTTCTGTCACGCATTCCGTTGTAGCCGAATCACCTCGTCGGTCGCTGCAACCGAGGCTATCCGGCTTGGTTGCCAGGCCACGTATTCGGACCGCAGGGACTCGGTTCGATCGTCCAGGCGGATCTCGTTCATTTCAAATGCCTCTAGCTGCAGTAGTTCCCAGGGCAGCTCATCATCTCCTCCTCCTCCAGAGAATTTTGGTACTTTGGTATGTAATAATGTTTTGTAATGCTGTAAAATCGATGTATTTCTAACAACAAGTACTTTTTTGTCGTATTTCAAGTTGATCCTTCTTATAGGCTTTCTTCCCCACAGGTGATCCCTCTCAAGATATTTTTAGATGACTCCGGATTTCGAGAATCCCAGGACGGCCACAAATAGCCAATCCTGTGAAACTAATTTTGCTCACGTGGTCTAGAAACAGCCAATCCTGTGAACAAATTTTGCTCACGTGGTCTAAAAACAGCCAATCCTGTGACACTAATTTTGCTCACGTGGTCTCGAAATAGCTAATCCTATGTCATTTATTTTGTTCACTTTGTCCAGAAACAGCCAATCATGTGACACTGATTTCGCTCACGTGGTCTAAAAACAACCAATCCTGTGACGCTAATTTTTCTCACGTGGTCTAGAAACAAACAGCTAATCCTGTGACACTAACTTTACTCACGTGGTCTAGATATAGCCAATCCTGTAACACTAATTTCGCTCACGCGGACAGTCCAGGCGGCTATCAACCTCCACGAAACTATTCACGCATTGCACGTGGTAACATCTGCTGAAGAACTGGTTTCCAAGGCTAGAAATATCTTAAGAGGGATTACCTTAGGAATAAGACCCATAGTGGGCGATTCACTTCACTCCCCGTTGGTCGTATTGCATTGTTAAGTTCCTCTCTATTCTGTTCTAGGCCGAGGAAGATGAAAACAGGCAGCTAGATTCCAAACAAGAAAAGCCTAAACACAAAGAAAAAGAGGCGAGTAAAAGCAGCATGAAACTAAAACGTTTTGCGTCCATGCCGCATTTAATTCGCTCAACTTCCAAGAAAGACAAAGAGCACAAAATGGAGCAGGACATGGGAAAGAACACGAAAAATTTTAGAACAGCTTCCGTCAGCTCTGTTGGTGCGGACGATGTTTTTGACAGCACTTGGGAAATTGTGCCGGAAGAGAAGGTTTACAATTTCAATGCGACCTATCTTTGTTCTACAGTCGTCAACCCACCGCTGAGACCAAAACATTTGCGTGAATGTGTTAAACAATACCAAAAACAACAGGCCAAATCGCTGAAAAAATTCGGCAAGGAACAGCCGTCCAGTGAAGTTGTACTGTTAGTGTCCGTAGACGGGGTTCAAATGACGAACTCGCGGGCTGAGAAGGAAGAACAAGGAATGTTTTTCCCTTTCAACTCTGTAAGCAATGCCATGGCTCACCCAGAAAGCCCAGAATACTTCGCGTTCGCTACCATTGTGACGGGAGACTCGAAACACAAATGCCACTTGTTTCGGCAAACAAAAGTTCCGTCTGAAGAGTTGGTTGAGAGCTTCCAAGCATTCATGTGAAAAACAAGAATCGCGGGACAACTCCTTATAACGGATGTCAAGATATTGTTACATGCTTGCAATGGTGTGTTATCTATAGTGTCCGTGACACAAATTTAAAGGAGTTACGTCACGGTTTGCGCATTTTCTAATGTTTGGCCTAAATTTTTCAAGTTTGCCATTTTGTATTTCGTGTTTTTCTTCTCTATCCTCAACTATTCTTGTTTCTTTATGGTTTATTATTATCTCTTTGGTGTTTTTCTATCCTAGTTAACTACTTTCAGGTTTCCTGCAATGTAAGACAATTGTGTGTTTTGGCCAAAATAACTCAAAATGCCGTGACTGAGCTCCTTCCAGCATTAATCCGTATTAGCGGAAGTTTCGACCATAGACCAGTGTCCGTAAAACGGGCTCCTGAGGTTTTACAACGTTAACATTTCTTAATTCATACAGTACACGCCCATTGAACTCAAAAAACTAATCATAAACACGACCTGAGTAAGGAGAATCCAAACCGAATCGCAAAGCATACGCTAGCCTCGATTTCCGCCGCTCTCTCGAGTTGGATCTACGTTTCTCCCCGAGAGGAGACAGCAAAGGATCGCGGGCTCCTTTCCTGAACAGCGGCTGGCAATCTTGCCTAAGCATAGATTTGATTGCTCGAAACAGTGAGAACAGGAGAAATGTCATTCGCCTTGTCATACTTCCCAAAGGTTCGATAAAATGACTGAAAGAGATCTGATGATCTGATGCTTAATCATTTTCGAAAGTCAAATTACAAAAAGGCAGTCTGCGCTAGCGATCGTATCAAAGCCATATTCAGTTGGTATACCTAGTCCCGTCTGCATGTGAAATAATCACTTTCCTGACCCACCCAACCCATTAAGGTTTAGTTTTTAATTAATTCTGCGTATTTTAGCCATACATAAATCTCCTATAACGTATATTCTATAACACTTCGGAGATATAACCGCAGAGAAGCACGGATTGAATTTTCACCTTCACGTCACTATTTTTGGTGTCGACAAAGATGAGCGATTTTGTTGTTTTAGCCAGCAGCTACCCGCTAGTAATCTAATTAACGATATATAACGTCCTCAGACAGATTTTAGTGATATCAACAAAAATCGCCGGCAATTTCTAATTTTTCGTAAAACTGAACCAGGTCAACAAGCTGCCGCTGAAAATGGTAATCTCAAGGCATCCAGTTATTTTCACTACTTATTTTCATCAACAGTTAAGTTATGAAGTAATATATTTCTGGCCATGCGTAATACCGCTTTTTTGACACAAAACACCATTATCACTAACAATTCCTTGCTTATATTGTAAATAACGAATTTTGGTTAATTTATTTGAGCCTTGGAATAATTTAAAATTAGTGAAGTGAGATGTAATTATAAATCAATTCCAGCAATGTGCAATTGTTTTTTTGCTGCCTACGAAAAGAGAAACTCGTGAAATTGAACTGTAGTGTTTTCGCTGTTAGATCGCTGGACATTGATCAGTGAAAAATGTATTTAATTTTTTTATCAGTGTATATCGAGAACGACATGATTTATGACTCAATCATGAATGCTGTGATATCACAAAGTGTTCGCCGTGGGCAATTATTTTTGTAACTGTCTAATTAAGACATTGTCATGACAGAGAAAGTTGGTACTTTTACTTGCAAGCGTTGATTATTAAGGCGTTGTCTTATGCCCCAGTGTCAGCATACAACTTTCGCTAG